GGGTGGGGCCTGGCCGAGAGGGGCTGGGGCTGGGGCGGGGCCTCTTCTGGGGGCGGGGCTGTAGTGTGGGTGCGGCCCGATCGCGAGGGGCGTGGCATGTGCTGGGCGAACCGCACGCCTAGAGGGCGTGGTCTACCCGAAGGGCGTGGCCTGCAGAATCACGCCCGGGGCGCGCGATTGGAGGGGGAGGGCAGCGGGGTGGGAAACCTTCCCCGACGCCCCTCCCCCGTGGGTACCGAGGGCTCCGCGCCGGGCCTCCCGCACCGGGACGGGGCTCCGAGGCCCCGTCGTCTGGTCTGTGCGTGCTTTCCTTAGGGTGTGCACATGGGAGTTCCTCGTTGAGTGACCCAATGAATGAGTACGTGAGCTCACACGTAGCCTTCGAGGGGAGTCTGCCCGAAGCTTTCAGGCCAGAGTGTATTTTAATCACTCCGGGACGAATCACTGTGTCGTCGTGCTTGTCCCGTCCAAATCCCCTTCCGTTCTGGCAAGATTCTCGGGGTGCTGCTTGAGCCAGATTACCATGGACAGGGGTGCTTATTTTGAGGAGACCCCCGAGGGGAAGGGGCGTTCGAATATGGCCCAGGAGGCTGTTTTCCCCTCTCGTCTCTGCACCTCCCTTTCCATCCCTTTCTGTCCCAGCGGCCGGGGTGTCTCAGGAGAACGTGTCCCCCGCGGCTTTGCCCCTGTAGTTTAGGGTTCCAGCCACCTGTGGCCGAGAGGAGCTGGCAGCCTCCCTCTGTTAGGAATTCTTGGGGAAGAGAAATGATGGGCCCGCTGGAGTTAGGTGTCCACCCTGGTCTAATCAGAGAAGGCTAGGTGGGTTGGATGCTGGACAGCAGTTCTAGGGGTGGGGGTCTTTGTGAGCTGGGCATCTGTACTCCCTGTTTTAAATGATCGTGTGCGCACCCAGCATGGTCTGACTGAGCTGTGCCACCTTGGGACTTATTTAATCATAATCTGGGTGTTATTTATACAGCAATTCAAAGTGTGGCGGGACATACAAAAAAAAAGCAGGCTCCTGCTTTTTAGGAATTAATCATATACTTGAAGAAACAAGGTGCACCTCCATGGAAGGGTGACTGGATCTCTCTTCTCGTTGCTCCCAGTCCTTCAAGCCCTGCATGATTTTCTTAGATAGCAGAGCACACGTGCACATACATAGACACACGTATGCATGCGTATACGTCACCCAAACACAGAGAGACGTGTATGCACAGGCATACGTGTGCACACATATACAGACATGCCTGCAACAGCTGCACAGGCAGTGTGAATCCCACAGTTAGCCTGGCTGGCACAGAAAGTGTCTTACTTGCAAATCATTTGTTGGACTTGTATTTTCTTCCTGGCTGGCTGGTGGTTTTAGTAAAATGGGTTTGACTCAGACTTAACTTAGTTCACATTGTGTGTCTGTGTATGTGCGCACGTGCACCAGGGGCACATGTGTGGGGTTGTGGCAGTCATTTTCTAATGCAGGCAACATGATCAGTGCCACTCTGCCAGGAACCCCAACTCCCAGACAGGTTCATATTGTTGCCCTGGGGGCACAGTGAGCCCTGCCCAGCCATGTGGGGTGGGGGGCACCTTCCCCTCCAAATCCCCCCCACCTTCCCCTCCACTTCCATCCATCCTGGCGAGTGCCTCTGGCTTGGTTGAGAGCGGCTCTGACAAGGGTCTGTGTGGGAACAGTTTAAGGCCGAAACTAAGTGTGGGCGTGGTCTCTGGTCATAGTCATGGTCTCTGGTTGAGGTGGGCTGCCTTTTCAGCACACGCAGGTGCATTTGGGTGACCACGGTTTTCTATTCTCAGCACCAAGAGTGTCCGGGGGCCCCGGGACGTGCGAAGGAAGTGGCTGAGAGCTGCTGTCCTGGGAGCCTGCACCTCGCTCGCTGCTCTCCTGCTCTGGGGCAGCCTAGGGGGCGAGGATGGCATCACTGAGGTCCTAGCTCTCCGAAGTGAGGTCCTGCCAGGCAGGTTCATCGAGGTGCCCTGCTCCGAGGACTATGACAGTCACCGAAGGTTTGAAGGTATGTGATGCCGAGATGATCCAGGAAAAAGCAGCTTCTTGACATGGAATTTGTTGAATTCAAAATGCATCTTTTTTTACTACAATGAATTGGTGGGAATCAGGTTGAAAGTAGTGGGAGTGGGTGGCGAGTGCCCTCCCCGGCCTCCATGTTGGTTAGTTCACACCAGGTCCAGGAACTGCAGGTGTTTCAGGCCCTGCCAGTGCAGGGGCAGGCCCACCGGTCACTGCCCAGGCCTCTCTGCCCAGGCTATGGCGTGTTTCACGGAGGTGCCCCACACAGGGGGCGCTATCTGATGGAGGAGATGGTTTGCCTGGAAGGATGTAACAGAACTGGAAAGGTAACAATGCTAAAGTTGAACCCAGAAAAGGCGTTTTCTGTGGAGTGTCTCAGAATGTTGTCGCAGCAGAAAATGTCGCAACAGGGGACGTCAGTCCCAGAGGCCCTCCTCCTGTTGTGTGTCCCATCCTGGCACCTGCCTGCTCTGAGGCGGGCAGCACTTTTGAAAGCCTAGCCAGAGCAATGGGATTTTAAAGAAAGAATTCAGTGCAAGGCTTTGAACTTGAACCTTGAACCAAGAAAAGATTGCTGAGTCCCTCCACCAGGGGGTGCTGTTGTGACACGCAGAGTCGGGGTTTGGGTGACCGCAGGCGCGTGAGCCCCTTGGCAGGGACGCGGATGGAGGCTGCCTTTCCCCGCAGGGGCCAGGAAAGGAGCGGCTTCAGTCGTGGGGATTCTCTCTCTGTCTTAGTCAGCTTTTTCCCTCCGAAGTCCCAACTTTTGAGAAAGTACTTCTCAGTGGTTAGAGCTGAAGACAAGTTTTTCTTCCTACCCATTTAATAATTTATTAACATTAAAAACAGTTGGAAGGTGTGGGAGAGTTAGTGTAGATGGGGAGGGGGTTGCCGTTGGGAAGATGAGGAAGTTCTGGAGACGGTGGTGGTGGTGGCTACACAACAGTGTGAATGTAGTTAATGCCCCTAAACTGTATGCTAAAGACAGTTTAAGTGGTAAACTTGGGGGTATATGCTTAACAAAACAAAACAGCTGTTTTGGACGTTAAAGCCTCTGGACTCCCCCCTCGGCTGACAGGGGCCTGTGTGCTGGGCGGCGTGTCTGCGTGTTTGGAGTCTGTGCACGCCTGTCTGTGCAGCAACGCTGTCAATTGCTCACAACTCACTTTCTCACCCAAATTGTGCTCTTGATACTCATTCTTGTGTCACTGCTGGATTTTACAATTTCAAGAGGCAGGGGGTTTTGGTCCTCTCTAATTGCTCTGTAGCTGGAGAAGGTAGCCTGCATGACACAGACCCTGTGACGCTGGTTCAGACTTCCCTTTTGGGTTAATACGTTTTTGTTAGTGTTCCGTGTGTCCCTGGAAAAGTGGGGGTATCTGAATGGTTGCTGTGGAGTTCGGCGTGTCTCCTAGTCCAGTGTGTGCGGTCTGTCCTCATGGACCCCTGCCTCCCTGTCCACAGTTACTGGGAGCCTTGAGGTCGGGTCTCCACCGTGACTCCACCCTGACCCTGGCCCCGTCCCATCCAAGCCCCCATCCTCTCCCCGCAGTCCTAGGTGCAGAGGCCGAGGGAGGCCGGGTAGGCTCCTTGGGGCAGCACTGCCGAGCCCCGTGGAAGGACAGTGACTAGAGTTACAGGCACAGCTGTGGTCATCCTGGAGGGACTTTCCGATGAGTCTGGCTCTGCAGTCAGTGATGGTTCTAGAATGTGGTAGATGTCATCTCTGGGCTGTCTTCCCAAGGGTGGGCACAGTGCCTGGTGCTCCCGGAATGACCTGCCTGGTGTGGGGCCTCCAGCAACACGCAGGCCCAGTGGGATGGGGCGTGTGCTGCCAGGGGTGTGCCTATACTGAGCAGTCACCGCTGCAAATCCCATCCCTAATCTCGTGGAAGGCAAGGCCCCATCCCACAGAATTCCCTTGTCCCTGGGGGCAGAGGCCGCCCGCAGGTGAGTCCCTCACAAATGCAGCAGCTCATGTCAGGGTTCGGGGGGGCAGCGTCTCACCCTGGCTCGACCCTCCAGGCTGCTCCCCGAGGAAGTGTGGCCGGGGCATCTCCGATGCTGTCATCACCAGGGACGAAGCCCGGAGGATTCGCAGGTACACACATCTCGGTCCTGAAGGAGCAGGAGAGTGGGGCTGGGGGTGGGAAGCAGGGAATGACCACTGAAACGGGGGTGTAAATGTAAAGAAATGCATTTAGAATTCCCTAAGAATTCCCTTGTGCACTTCCAAGGCAGAGCTGGGCTTTTCTGGTTTCCAGGAGGAAAGGCTGTTGCCCTCCCTGACGCAGCTGCTGACGGAACCTTCCGGAGCCTGGGCCCGCTCCAGGGGAAGCGGTTCTGGCCCGCTGGGGTTGGGGGGGCTATGTGCCCATCAGGCATGGGGGCCCCATCTTTCAAAGACGAGATCTCAGAGCTTTGGTTTTCCATCAAGGACTCAGACACAAGCAGGGGCCAGATGGAGCGGTGTCTGGCCCACATGCTGAGCTCGGGGTCCCAGAGGGCAGACGCTCCTGTTTGCAGATGCCATTGCCGGGCTCGTTGGGTGGGGGTCCCTGGTGTGAGGGAGGGTCCATCCCCTGGCTCCCCGGGCGGCCGTGAAGCCTCAGCCAAAGGCACTGGAAGCCCCGCATCTTCAGTGGGGCGCGTGGTCCTGTGAGGTCCCACGTGGCCAGCACGGGGCCTCTGCCCCGCACCCCGCTGGCGATTAAAGGCTGCCCCAGCCTGTGATGGCGGGAGAGGGACCCGCTGGGGCAGCTCAGCCGTTCGACTCAGCGCAGGTCTCTGTGCGGAGGACGGAAGCTAAGCCCTCTCGTTCCCAGACTGTGCCACGTGCTGGCAGCGAGACGGTGACAAATGTTACCGCTTACTCACCTAGCCTGAGAGTCGGGTCCTTTGTCTAAGCGTGTGCTTTTGTTGGAAGCACGACACGGTCACTGTGCTGACTGACGTGTGCTGAGGCGTGCAGGCCTTCACGGAATCCTGACTTAAGCTTCTCCTCCCCGCAGCGTAGCCGAGAAGGGGCTCTCCCTCGGAGGATCCGACGGAGGGGTGAGTCGTGTACCGCTTGTCACCCCTTGGCTTTGCTCTCCCCCTGTCCCGAGGGGCTTCGCAGGGCCCACTCCTGGTGGCAAAGTGCCCCTCCCTTCACGGTGTGTCACAGCCGGCCTGCCTCCAGTCACACCCACACGTCAGGCACCCCAGCCTGGGGCCAGTGGAGGTCACAGGCAGGGAGCAGACAGAACAGAGGACCAGCAGAGCCAGTGAGGAGGGAAGCCCTGGGCAGGGACAGTCGGGGCGCGCTGAGGAGCTGCGGGGAAACGGTGCGGAGGTGCCGGGTGGAGGAGGCCCCGCAGACGCGCGTGGGGACTGTCGTCCACCGTGTGAGTCTGCGGGGGTCCAGCGGTGGCTCCTGAAAGGTGCGTCCACCCAGAAGCTGTGAAGGAAGCTCACTGGGGAGAAGGGTCTTTGCTGCTGTCGTTCAGGTAGGGTCTCAAGACAGATCATCCTGGACTACGAGGTGGGCCCGCAGTCCAGTGATAAGAGTCCTTGTGAGAGGAAGGGAGGGGAGGAGTGGGATTGAAGAGGAGGCCGTAGGAAGACAGAGGCAGAGACGGAGTGATGGCACAAACCCGGGGACGCCTAGGGCCACCAGGAGCCCAAAGACTCAAGGAGGATCCTTCCCTGACGCCCTCGGAAGGAGCGGGGCCCTGCTGACACCTCAATCCCACCCTTCCGGCCTCCAGCGCTAGAGGCGGGGTTGCTGCTGCTTTCAGGCCAGTGCACCTTCCGCTGGGCTGAGTTCCCGTGCGGGGGTCCCCTCGCCCAGCATGTGGGGCTGGGGGAGCCCGCCCTTTCCCCCGTGTAGCTTGGTGATGACCTCTGTGACTCTTCTATTCGGCAAACGCTTTCCTCTCGAGTTCTGACCGTTCAGCTTCTGCTTTGCTTCGGTTCGGGGGGAGTACTTGTCAAAGACCTGTTTGTGCACGGACTCATCCTTTACTCTGCTCAGCATTCACTTGAGAAGTTGTCTTGCGATGAATCAGCCAAGTTTGATGCCTTTAAGTGCAGTTAACATTTTTTAAGCCCAAGTCATGTTCAAACCAAGCCCTGGGCTGGTCGCTGCCTCAATGAGAAGAGACACTCAGCCAGGGTGGAGGTCGTCCGTGCTGGTGCCCACCTTGGCCGGGGTGCAGGGAAGGCCGCGCGGAGGCAGGGCGGGCAGGGGCGGGAGATGCCCTGGTGGTTCCTTTTAAGTTATGGGCCGGGTGCCTCCCCGGGAGACTAAGAGCCCCCCATGATAAAGCGTCCACCAGTGCCACAGCCGCTTTGTGGGGAGCAGCCCTCAACGGGGAACGGGCCCCCAGGTGAGGCAGCCAGACACGGAGTGCTCCCTGAGGACAGAGTGGACAGCGGGTGCCTGCACCCACGTGAGTGGGCCGCAGGGTGGCGGCGCTGAGGGCAGGGGCCCCGGCTGAGAGCCAGTGCACCTGTGAGACTCCAGGGCACAAGCTCTAGAAACTGTCCAGTCTGCTGTGGCAGAAAGCATGTCAGTGGTTGCCTGGGGAGGGCCGGGGGTACAGAGGGTGCAAGGAAGTTTGGGGGGTGGTGTGTTTACTCTCCCGAGAGTGGGGTGGTTTTGAGGGTGCACGTCAACATCGAAACCTGTCGAACTGTAGGTAAACAGGAGCTGACCGGGTGCTGGCTGTCCCTCAGCAGAGCAGGGGAGGGGCTTGTGACTCAGCCGCAGGAGTCCTGGGATCTGTCTGGAGGAACTGCATCTGTGGGCTGTTCTCAGAACTTTCGAGTCTTCATTCTTAGGGCCGCAGAGAAAGATCCCCCTCACACGCCTCTGTCCAGGCGTCTTGAAACCCCGCCGGTGTGCGCCGTCTCCCTGACCTGGGTGTGCGAGGACGGGTCTCAGAAACCCGAGTTTAACGGTGGCCTTCAAAGCTCTGTCTTGACCCTCACACCGCTTGCCAACGTCTTTTCCAGGCGTCCATCCTGGACCTGCACTCTGGGGCCCTGTCTGTCGGGAAGCACTTTGTGAACCTGTACAGGTAAAACCTGGGGGGGAGGTCTCTGCCCGTTTCTTAGCCGGCGACCCCCGTGTGAGGCTTATGCATCTGGGTTGGAGCAGCTCCAGTCTCGGGCAGACCGTGATGTTTGCCATCCAGCTGTGGCTGGGCGAGGACCAGGCTGTGCAGCCCTTCCGAGGGGCGGCATCCTTGCTTTCCATTCGTCAGGGAAGTCTAGTGCATCAGCAGGGGCTTCTCAGGATGAGCCGAGGGGCCGGGGCGGAGGGAGAGGTGGGAGTGGTGACGGCTGGCTGGGCCCCTGAGAGCTGGGGCTCTGACCCTCCCCGAGGGCCAGGGGAAGCCAGGGGCCCCCAGCCTTGATAAATCTTACCCCACCTGCCAGGTGCCGAGCGCCCCCTCCCGCTCCCGCAGGTATTGTGGGAAGAGCGGCTCCAAGATGATGAGGACCAGCTGGGCTGTGGGACGCTGGTCAGCGGAGGAGGGACTTAAGGGAAATAAGGAAACATTAACAGAATGGTTCATTTGTTAATGCTCCTTTTTTTTTCCCACAGGTATTTTGGGGATAGAATACAAACTGTCTTCTCAGGAGAGGACTTCCAGTTGTACCGGTGAGGAGGGGACGGCCAACGGGTTCGGGTGGGGAAGGCAGCTGGCGGGGCCGGGAGTGGTGCGGGCCAGGGTGGCGGGTCCTGGCTCTCTCCTCAGGCCGGGTTGGGCCGACATCCGGCCGGAGTTTCCTGGGAGGGCAGTGGATGTTAAGCCGAAGCGCTTCCCGTCAGTCAGGAGGTGGTACAGAGCCGCAGCCCGCCCGGGTGGGCCCAGAGGCCTCGCAAGGGCGTTGTGAGCAGCCGCGGGCCCTGCCAGGGCCACACCGCGCGCCCCCAGGGCCTCGTGTCACGGGCTCAGCCCTCGTGTCACGGGCTCAGCCCAGGCAGCGGGGAGCTTGCCATCTTAACTGAACTCCTTGTTCTGAGATCATCAAGGTCGCACACAGTCCTGAGAGGTGGCACAGGGGCTCCCCTGACACCGAGAACCGGAGTGCAGGCCCCAGAAACAGACACCAGGCACCCACTGTCCTGCTCAGGCTTGCGTTTGACCTTGCTCACCCAGGGGCGCGTCTGGTCCCGTGCAGTGACTCACCTGTGTCGGTCTGTAAGGCGCCGCGGAGCCCTGCTGCCCTTTTATCACCACGGCCCTGACCCTCCGCCCCCAGTCACCAGGGCCGTGACTGGCTGGAGCCATATTACCACAGAAACAGCTGCAACGTGAAGCCCAGGCTACTGCTGTGGACAAGGTTCCACTCTTGACCATGGACGGGATGAGCAGTAAGCGGTACCGTCAGCCGAGGCCAGGCTCCAGCGGGACTCGCTCTTCCAGCGGCTGGTCCTGTGCGCCGTGAGCAGAGGGTCCAGACTCTGCCGTCGAGACCACGGACGAGGCTGGTGTCACCCTGGCTGGCCGCACACCTGGGGAAGTGCTGGGCCCGTCTGTGATGACCACCGTGACCCGCTGTGCTGCTGGTTCCCATGGTTTGATGGGTTCACTCTTGTTTAGTAGAAAGTGCGCTGCAGTGTCTTGATATTTATAAATTCAAGACTCTGTGAAACAGAAATGAACACCCAGAATGAAGGGAAAGCAGTAGCCCCGTGTCCCATCTGAGTCGCACAGTCGTGCACATCCGGGCCTGCAGAGAGGAGGGACTCCCATCCCAGCTGCAGTCCGACCGTCACGAGGGCCCCACAGCCCCGGACATCTGCAACATGGGAGTCGGGGCAGATGGAACAGCTGGTGTTCCTGGGGTGGAAACCAAGTCGACCGTGTGACCAGAGGCCAGAACGCTGGGCGCAGCCGGTGCTCGTGGGAGAAGGAGGTGGGCAGGCCAGCGCAACTTCACTGTGATGTCTGTCTTGTCCACAGAAGCCCAGGACGGTTTGTCATCATCAAAGAGGAAGCAGGAGGAACCTCACCAATCAGTTCCAACAAGAAAACACAATTATTAAAATAACTGGATAGTTAGTAGCTAATAATTAACTAATTAAAACAATTACAGTGAAATAATTAAATAAAATGATTCAAACTTCCAAAAACGTACCATCGAAGCATTTATAACGTAAATGGTGGTGTTCAGAGGGACCACCAGGATCTTTTTTAATGCCCTATGTTCTGTTCTTAAAAATGGTTGAGCATTTGAGACACGACAGAAATATTACCAACATAGGACATCCGTGTGATCACACGTATGGTCTAGATTGTCAGAAAAAGAGAGCAGAGTTTGGGGGAGCTCTGACAGCAGTGACGTCTCAGAGGAGCTGCCCCATCTCCCATGAAGGGCTCTGATAAACCAAACAGAGTGCAAACGGCACCCCTTGGTTGATCTCGTGCAGCTGGAAGGAACTGGTCTGAGGTCTAGCTTCGTGGTGAGCGTTTAGGGCAAACGTCCCGGAAGCCCTTTGGGTTGTCGTGGAGACAGTGCGGCCTCGGGAGCAGAGTTCTCGCCACCACGGCAGGATAGCGTCATTCGACTCTCAGCCACTGTTTCCGGCTTCTTCTGGATGGTGCAGAAAGTAAAACCACACATCATGGCCAGGCTTTCTCCACTACCATCTGTCACCTGAACATTGGGGACACTGTGCCCTGTGACAAAGGGAGCCGGAGTCTGAAAACTAGAGGACAGTCCTCGGTGGGCAGCCGAGGTCACAGGGACCGGGGGACGGGCCCTCCCTGTGACTTCCCACAGAAACAGTAAGTTGGAGTCAACGTGACCAGCGGTGAGCATGAGGGGCCTGGAGGAAGAAAGGGAGGAAACCAGGATAGAAAAGCAGAAAACAACAGAGAAACCAGGAAAGATGGCCTCTGCTCGAAGCAAAACAAGGGGTCAGCTCTGAGAGGAGACCTGTTCGGTTGTCCGGGCGCCACCCCAGAAGGCGCTCGTTGTTTGAGGAAAGCGGGACGGTGTCATGAGCGTTAAGTTCTTCCAGTTTGCTGAACTCAGACGTGGATAATGCAGCCTGCATGGCGTCAAGGCTCGAAGATAAACGAAGCGGGGGAAACAGCTGACATTCGGGGAGTAATTCTACGACTTGGTTGATGAGAGACGTTGAGTTCACACGTCTCGCTCCCTCCTGAAGGGCAGGAACACTAGAATGTCGCTGTTGGTTCAGCAGAGTTTCCGTGAACGCCATTGTTGACGCAGATAAACGTTCTGCTCACCGAGATGAGTCTGCGGGATCAGTGGAAGAGGCCGGTCACCGGGGTTGGCGCCCTGGCCTGGGTGGGACCCCCACCTAGTGCCGTGTGTGCAGAAGACCAGCTGGCGGTGTGGAAGCACGGGGAGGGCTTGTGGGCTGTTGTGCTCAGGCCCTGTCACTTGGCACACGGCTGAGGACCGGGTTTATTACATGTCCGTGTGCACGGGGTAGGTGTACCTGCAGGTGTGCTGTGAGTGCACACATCTGTGCACGAGTGTGTGGCAGCGCGGCACCGTCGTGCAGGTGTGCGCATGCAGGCAGGCACGTGTCATGCACGTGTGTGGATGTATGTGGGTTTGCACAGTGCGTGCAGGGAGGTTTGTGTGCATGTGTGTCCAGTGTGTCCGTGTGTAGGGAGGTATGTAGGTGGACCTGAGAGACCCGGCTACCCTTTCCAGCACTGCTCCCTGCGTCCGGCCTCCTGGGCAGTCAGCTCCCTGCAGCTCCCAGGAGCCTGGCCCCGGGGGTCGGCTGCAGTCCAGGCAGGGTCGGATGCTGATGCAGTAATCTGTGCCCACAGTCGGGCTGAGAGCCCAGGCTCTGGACAGGCCAGGGAGGGGCCAGGTCTCCATGGGCCAGCACCCCTCTGCTGGGTCAGGCTGCTGCCCCAGCCCTGACCATGCGCTGTGCAGTCCTCTGCCCAGGGCTGGGCCACCCAGGCCTCAACACGGCTTGGAAGTGGATGGGCCGTGTGCAGAGGGCCAACCCCCCACCCCCTGATGCTCCTGCTGTCCCCACAGCCACTGCCCAGCTGGCCTGGTACTGGGGTCATTCTACAGAGAACTGGCCCCGGGTTCCTGGGCGTGCACATGAGACGCTGGCACACATGTGCGAGACCTGTGTGTGCATCTGTTCACCTTTCCAGCTTCTCCAGCCTGGGTCTCGTTGTGGCGTAGCACAGTGTGGCTCCGTGGAGGAGCCCCGCGCAGCTCTGGGTGACGGGTGTTTCCTCTCGGCAGGGACGTGCGGCAGAAGGTCCAGCTGGCGATCGCCCGGGCGTTTGGCATCAGCGCGTCCTCGCTGTACCTGACAAAGCCCACCTTCTTCTCCCGCATCAACAGCACGGCGGCCCGGACGGCCCACGACGAGTACTGGCACGCGCACGTGGACAAGGTGAGGCCCCCCCGCATGGCCGGGCGCGCCTGCCGCCCCAGCCCAGCACCCTCCGGGTTTCCAGGCATCTTCCGCGGTGTTTGCGCCGTCAGGGCTCTGGTTGTGATGCAGTCGAGGAAGCAGCATTCGTTTCCCGCGTGACGGAGGTCGGAGAAGGCAGAGGAGCAACGTTAGCAACAGCCGGGCCTGGGGCCGCCCCCTGCTGATGGCTCCCAGACAGAGCCGCCGGCCCTGCCCCCACCCCCGCCCTGGCCCCAAGCCTGAGCTGCTTGGGCGTCACCGGACCGGCCTTTCTGTCGGGTGGTCTCTCCTCCGGTCTGCATCCCCCAGGAGGCCCCCACCCCACTTCTCACCTTTTTTGGGTGTCAGTCTCTCAACTGCTCAGGATTCTGCAGATTCCCCTTCCCCGTCTCCCGCTGTTCTCCGGACACAGTGAGCCCTAATCCGCTGCCCCTGACCAGCAGGGCTGAAGCCCAGCTCTGCTCCGCCCACAGAGAGCTGGCTGCCGGGAAAGGCGGAGGGCTGTTGGCGGTCACCCCAGCAGGCGACCCAGACAGTCCCCGTGTCTCTTGAGGCTGGAACAAAGGAAGCGAAGTGAAAAATAACCAGGAGGGTTTGGGCAGAAGCTGGCAGACTGGGCTTCTGCCTGAGATTCATCAGATGCTTCTGTGTTTATTTCATCTCGATGTCTGAGTGCGCTGGAGGAGGGGAGCACTCGCACGTGGCCATGAGGCCGAGGAAGCCGGTGTTTGCAGAAGTTAACTTCAACTGAGGCAGCCACCTGGGGCTTGACGAGGCTCAGGCTGGAAGTGTGGGCATCACCCCGGGGCCTCCCGTGTCTGCTTGTCCCCCTGCTCTGGGCTTAAGGTCGATCGGGGGTTTGGGCTGATCCACTGCTCACAACCCAGCCTTGCGGCTGCTCTCCCCACACAGCTCCAGTTCCATCGACAACCGTTGCCCAGATGCGCTGTTTCATTAAGAGACCAGGGCTGAGAACTTCAGTGGGTGTAAGGTCATGTGGACATTGCAGAGGGAAAACCGAGGTTTTATGGGGTTGGGGGCAGAGACGATGTGTGTGGAGGAAAGGTGGGTATGCACCGCAGACAGGGAGGGAGCCCCCGGCAGAGGAAGGGCAGCCCTGCATGTACCAGGAAGCGACGGCACTGGACGGAGCCTGGTTCGGTGGCTAAGCCTCAAAGATAAGGAAGAAGGTCTTCGGGCAGAGAGAACGAGTCAGCAGTGACTCGTGGGGCGGCCGCGGGACAGGGTCTGCGGGCCAGGGCAGCTGTCAGAGCCGAGGGCCGCTCACGCTTGGACACAGCAAGGAGGCGGCCCCGCACGAGGGGCTCCCAGAAGGGGCATCTGCCCCTTGCCCACGAATTCCTCTGGCCTCTGGCTCAGGACAGCCACATGGTAGAGCCCCGCCGGCCTCTGCCTTCCCCGCCCCCCCTCAGTGCTCGTCAACCCGCCACCTGCCTAGTCACTGTGTTCACGTGGGGGGTGGGGGGCTCCTTTGCCGTATCTGAGCTGAGTGGGTGGGAGAGGGTCAGGTTCCTGGACACCCCCGGTCTCCCCTGTTTTCTGCAGCTCATGGACATGGGTTCACCGCTGCAGCGATGCAGAAGCACTCCCTCGGGCCCTTCTCAGGTTTATGTCCCTTAGGTATTTGGGGCCGGATAAGGGGCCCCGAGATGGGGTCTTGGTGGGAGCATGGAGGGAGCCAGGGCTGCGTAGGGTCCAGCCCCGTGGGCGGTGGCACTGGGTTCATGTGAGGGTGCGGGGGGCCTCGGACCTGTGGCGGCTTGCTGCCCCTCCCTCTGGTCAGCCCACCCCCCAGGGGACGTCTGTTGTCATGGTGATGGGGGTCTAGCTGGGTGCAGGAGGAGAAGGGGTCTTGGACGTTGTGAGCCTTGATCAAACACGCTGCGGAGATTGGCCTCGGGCCGCTGTGTCCAGTTCCCAGGGTGCCTCCAGGTGTCAATAAAGTCGCTGAAGGCTCTATATTTCTAGACCCGACAGCTTAGGTGAGGGAGGCAGGCTGTGCAGCGGCGCGGGGGGAAGACACTCAGGGCTGCGTCCTGGACTTTGTCTCTTGACCTGGACTCGCTCACTGGATGATTCATCAGGCTGGGAAATGTTATTACGCGATTGAAACTCCGTGCGGGTGCACGCCACTGTCTTCACGTGAAGAAGAGAGCCCATCTCCTGGGTGCCCTTCATTAACGAGGAGCCGACTTGTGCGAGTTCTCGCACGACGCCCTTGGAAACACCTGCCTTGCACGTTGTAGACAGCTTACCCCGCCTCAGAGATCGAAATCAGTGTTTAGACAAACTGTAACTCCTCCCGTTGAGAACAGCTTCCTCACAGGACATCCCTTACCCACAAGAAGTCCTGAGCCGCAGACGGGACACCTGCCTGCGGCCGCCTTCCCACTCGACTTCCAGGGCTTCTTAGGGAACAAACGGGGGCTCCCCCTGCTTACGTTACACTCAGGTGCAGACGGCCCAGCTCAGACGAGCCCGGAACTCAGGTTTCATCTCCCGGCCCTGCTGTGCACTGCCCCGCCGTCTTCCAGGAGGACGTCCCGGCAGAGGACAGACAGTGTCGGGCTCCCCGAAGCAGGGTCTCCGGAGGGTCCCGTTCACAGGGTCGGACAGGATGAGGGTGGGCACTAGGGGTGGGGAGCGAGTGTCTCACGGGATAGGGTGTCAGCCTGGGGGACGACGAGCTGTTGTGATGGTGCGCGGGGCTGGCTGCGCAAGTGTGAATGCGCTTCCCTGAGCTGTGCGCTCGGCGGTGGGTAGAGGGGTGCACTGCACGGTTGGCGTGTTCCCACAATTTACAAGAGAGCTTGGGGCCCACGTCTGGAGGAAGGGCTCCCTGTGCCGACGCGGGACGGGCCTGTTGCTTGGTGGCGGCATGGCCTCCTGGGGTCACCGCCTGTGGGCTGTGCGGGGAGTGGACAGGACCGCATGGCCGGGGCTCCGCAGAGGGCTTCCTGCCGTCAGGAGGGCAGCGTGTGGCCTGGCCCTGGCCGTTCCTGAGGCGCAGACGCTCCTGTGAGCAGAGACGGTGACGCGCCCTCGCGCTCTGCCCGCAGGTGACCTATGGGTCCTTTGACTACACCTCACTGCTGTACCTCTCCGACTACCTGGACGACTTTGGCGGCGGGCGGTTCGTGTTCATGGACGAGGGGGCCAACAGGACGGTGGAGCCAAGAGCAGGTGACGCGTGGGCAGGGCCTTTCCCTGGTGCTGCGTTACAGGGTGTCCACCGAGCCTGCTCGTCACAGGAGGAGGCGGGTGTGGCCACGGTCACTGCTGTCACCACAGAGCGAGTTCCCAGAGCTGGCCTCCCCTCCATCCCCTGCAGCAACTTGCAGCTTAAGTCCGGGCGGTGATTCTGACCTAATAATGTTGGAACAGCACAGGGACTGGCCTCCCTTACCTGGTGGTCCCAGAGCCCCAACTGCCCCCGTCCCAGAGTGGACACTCAGTGCTGCTCAGCGAGCACGTGTGGAACAATAAATGTCCCCTCTCCTCCCCGGGTCCTGGGGTGGGGAGTGTGGAGGGGGGACTCCTGGGGGCTTCCTGACGGGCCGCCCAGGCCTCAGCCCATCCCCAGCTGAGACTCGCAGAGCCTTGCCCCTTGGCTTTGGCCTGGGCGCCTCGAATGAGCCGACGCCATTCACCTGCTGCCGCGGCTCACCCATCCCCGCGGTGTCACCTCCCTGGCTCCTTGGGTGCGTTGCTGTGTCCCCTCCCACCTGGCGGCAGACAGCTCACACCAGCAAGGCCATCCACTCATGCTGGTTCAGAGCGTTCCCATCGGCCACGGGCCAGTCCTGCAGGCCAGTGGGCAGTCCTTGCAGTAGCCCTGGATCCCCACAGAAGGTGGCTTGGGCATCAGAAGGCATAGAAAGGGAATGAAACAGCTCAGGTTTGGCTCTCCTCCCTCGGGGGTGAGCTCCGGAAGCGGGGCTGACCCGGGGCCCGGTCAGTGGGCAGGGGGCTCAGGACGGCCTGCAGCTCCAAGGATTGAATGGACCAAGAGCCAGAGAAGCTGCTGGCGGGAAGCCTGGGTGTCACACGCCACGTGCTTCGGGGAGGCATCCAAGGATGCTTGTTGCCGAAGAGGAAAAGGACACGTGGGTTCCAAACCTGAGGTTACTTTGCATTTCTGGCTACTAAGTGGCCGAGCTAAATCCTGCTTTGACGAAGCGGGTGATAATCTAATTGTTGTTTACTGAAGGGGAGAAGCCAGAAAGCACCCTTTCTGAGCCTGGAAGTTTCACGTTTCTGCAGCTGGGTGGGCCGTCCCCCGTGTGAACGTCACGAGTCTGTCTTTGCTCCCGCCGTGTGGGCAGAGTTACCGTTGAAGCATCATCACCCTTCCGAGTTCGGTTTTGCTTCACATGGGATTAGTGTGATTAGAAATAAGACCCTGAGGTGGGCCCTGAAAGGCCGTGAGCAGAGGCGTCCCCCCGCGTCCTGGCCGCCCTGCAGAGAGCTCGGCAGGCTGGACTGGGCGCTGCGCCCCTTGTCCTGCACGAGAGTTGGCCTGCTGGTTCGTCTCCGACCCCCTCCTTCCCGCCAGGTTTGTTCTGTCGGCTCCTTAGGACTGCTGTGTCCTCGGAGGGCCGGGGCCGCCGCGGCCTGATGGTCCTGCCTCTGCTCTCCTCTCCCCAGGTCGGGTGTCCTTCTTCACCTCGGGGTCCGAGAACCTGCACCGGGTGGAGAAGGTCCGCTGGGGCACGCGCTACGCCATCACCATCGCCTTCACCTGCAACCCCGACCACAGCATCGCAGACCCCGCGCTCACATAGCCGGGCCTGCCCACATCGCTCGCCGGGAAGCAGCTCCCGTGGGCACGCCCGCTCCCACCCGCTCAGCCCGCTCCCACCGAACAAGGTGCCTTACAAATCACCCCAAGTTTTGATTTGCTAACATTCGGTCATTTTTCATCTGAGAGTAAATGGAGGGGAGCAGCTCATCCTCCCAAGATCAGTGGTTGCCTGCTGCGCCGAACTCGGGGCTGGGAGCCAGCAGCCGCCACGCCCTCCGTCCTCAGGAAGAGCCCCTGTGCCCCGGGGGGATGCCCTGCCCGTCAGCAGATGGAGGGTCATCCTGGCCACTGAGGACCAACCTGAGTGTGGATGGAGCCAGGTAGGGCCAGCAGCCTCCGCTCACGGAAGCAGAACCAGCAACCCTGACACCCTGGGGAAGGTTCTGGGTCAGGCGGTTCTCAGAGCAGCAGCAGGAGGGCTGGGAGAGCTGGTGCTGCTGGGTTCCCAGCAGAGGGGACGTCCGGGCACATCCGCCAGTGCTGCCAGCCCCCGAGAGCTGCCTGGCACCGTATTCCTGCCAGCCTGGCTCTGCCGCATCACCAGCCGGGGTCCAAATTTGTTCCCAGAGCGGCCATCCGCCCACTGCCCAGCTGAGGGTCTGTCTGCTCAGGTTCAGATCTTGGCACCCTCTTCTCGTCCCAGTGCCATCCCCACCTTTCACATAAAAGTGATGGTCAGGGGAGCCAGGAATATTAAATAGACCAGCCTGGGGGAGGCCTGGACAGCAAGGCCCAGGGAGAGGGGCACATCCATCAGTCAGCTCCTGCCACGGCCAGGCCAGTCCCAGGGCAGCCCCACAAAGCAACTGGTCTGGAGTTTGGGCACCTCCTGGGAGGAGGGCTGATCACCCCTCACCCACCGTGCATGCAAACAGAGCTCCAGGTGTGGCTGTGGGTGCCGGGCCCTCCGGGCCCCCCCGACCCAGCACGGACGTGTGGATGTGTGGACGTGTGGACGTGTGCACGTGTGCCCCCAGTGGTGGAGGAGGCTGCAGCCTCGGCCACCACAGTCTGCAGCCACAGAGATGCTCGGGGCTTGTGAAGAGAGGGGCGGCGGTCACGGGTCCTGGGATGAGCCGTCCTGAGGCCCCTGAGGCTGCACGAGGGTCTGGAAGCCGGGGCCCCCAGCTCTGTGCTGCGGTTTGCTCAAGGTCCCTCCTACACCCTGGGCAACGATGTGCGGGCCTCAGGGCTGTGAAGGCAGGCGGTGGTGTGGGATGGGCTCCACCCAGGTCACGGCAGCAGGTTCCAGGAAGGCGGGTCACCCCTCGCCGCGGGAGCCTGTGTCCTGGTTCCCGTTTTTAAAGGACTTGGGTCCATTTGGGGAGGATGAAGGCCGGGCTCCGGTAGCCGGAGGGCTGACCTTTGAGGTCGGTGATGGCTCAGGGATGTCTCTAGGTTGGAGTGGCTCCTCCGTCCTGCGCAGGAAAAGCTGCCCCACCCCCGGGTTGTCCTCTGGCTTCTCCTGTCTGGACTTCTCAGAGGTTTGTGGCTCTGGTCTAGGGTTGGGACGCTTCAAATTCTGACAGAGGAAAGCCCCGGGAAGCCTCCCCTTGTTTCATAACCTTCGAGTTACCTGAATGACGCCCTCCCCTGGTCTGAGGGTCTGAGGACAGGCAGGCGGCCTCGGGTACTCCCCGTCTAAGGAGGGGGGTCTGATGATCGGGTGGTGGGTGACGTGCTTTGGAAGTAAGTAAGGTGTTGGTTTTAATTGACATTCTTTGCTACTTACCCTGTTCACAATAATCACAGAGGTACTTGGACAAAGAAATAAAGATTCGGGTAAAAGCAAGAATGCCTTTCTTTTAAAGTGGGAAGCAGCATGCTGCCCAGGAGGCGCCTGTGCACGTGACCGGCGGCCCCCCGAGCACGCACCCATGGCCACGTGGGCTCCTGGTCCTGCCAGGGGGTCCCCACGGGGGCGGACACGGTCTGCTCCCGGGAGAAGTAGGCGTCTTGGGATGTCCTCTGCTGAGGACTTAATTCCTAGAGAAAGTGTTTAGTCTGAATCAAAGAGCCTGAGCGTTGGTCTCTGCTGGAAGGAGGGGTTCCCACTTGGGCCCTCCCGGCGGGCCAACAGCACCCCAAGTCCTGACCTCTTAATTCCAGGCCCGCTTCACTCCGTGCTTCCCCCTCCAGCAGGATCTTCACACCGGGAGTGGCGACCGAGCCGCCCTGCCCCCACCCGCCCTCACGCCCCAGTAGCACTGACTCCTGAGTGCGTCTTGTGGGCTTGCACGTTCTTCTCACGTGATATCAGGAAGCGGTCCTGGCCCCCAGCCCCCGAGTAGTGGTGCCTGCTCGGGTGCCCTCGCCGGGTACCGGCTCATTTCCCCTCTGGAGTCATAGTGTCCCAGCGCCTCCCATGCCTTCTAGCGGTCTCACAGGGACGAGGAGGTTGGGGACACATCTGCTTGTCCCGGACACTGGAGGCCGAGGACCCAACAGCCCAGCAATGTGAGTCCTGCGTGCATGTGATGCAACATTCCTTCCATCTCAGCACCTTTGGGGCCAAGCAGATCTCAACAGAACTGGGGGTGCAGGTGATCCCCCATTCCCGAGAAGGCCAGCGCAGGCTCTGGAAGGGCAGGGCACCTCTCCCACTGCAGCGTGGGGGTTATGGGTACCAGCCCCCATCCCAGTGGACACACAGATGGGGCTCGGATCCTTGCTGCAGTCGCACACCTGGCCAGGTGCTCCAACTTGAGCCCCACCCCTGCCGGCCAGCCCTGGGTTGCCGGCGCCTGCAGTCCTTCACCTGTCTCCTCCCATGCCCCTCAGTAAAGAACAGACCACTGGGGGGGCCTCAGGAAGGAGCCCATTCCTGGAAAATCCCAGTAAGCCAGGAGGAGGAAGAGGGAGGGAGGACGAAGGAGGAGGCAGGCGGGCACCGTCTGGGGTCTCTGCACACCAGGGTGGGTCCTGGACGAAGACCTCCTCCCCAGAAGAGGGGGCCACGTGCTTACCCCTGCTGCCCCTCCCAGGGTCCCTGGCCCCCAGCCAGTCCTCCCTGCCCACCCCAGGCAGCCTCCCCTCCCCTGGCCCTTACCGGTAGGGGCTGCGAGGCTAACAGTTCTTGTGGGAGAGGGGGACGTGGCAGCGAGGTGGGGGCCGTGCAGAGCAGGGTGGTCAGTGCCGGATGGGGCTGTGGCCGCTGTTCCTGGTGGACTCCTGCCCTCCACGCCCCACCTGCGCCTCAGAGCCCTGGCTGAGGCCTCACGTCCAAGGTGGGTGGGTGTTTCCTCTGGCCTGGCTTCAGGCACACACCCCTCAGAGCGGGGCCCAGACCCCTCAGCTGGTCAGGACCTGCCCATGAAGCCCCAGTTGGTGCCCCGACCTCGCAGTCAGGTGGGCACGCAGCTCACGTTGCTCCTTCAGCACCTCCCGCTACCCCTAAATCACCCACCCCGGGACCAACTCCTGGCCACATCTCTGGTGGAGAAGTCTTCTGGCTCCCGGCTCCTGTGGCCCAGCCTGGCACGTCGTGGGGCTCACATGGTCCCCCCCAGCTCTGCCCAGTTGCCATGGGCTGGGGGGTGGAGCAGGATGAGGGGAGGGACCGAGGGGGTTGGGAGGCCATGGGTGGAGATGGAGGTCCCCCACCCCATCAGGCCCAGGCCCAGGTCCAGCCCTGACTCGCCCAGCCCCAGGGAGGAATCTTGGCCCAAGGCAGCAGCTCTGATGCCCAGGCAGCCTCAATATTTCATGCTGACACATATTTTTGGGGTGAGACTAGGCTCTGGGCTTTCAATCACACTGTGGGGTACCCGAGGCCACCGAGGGCAAAGGACAGCAGGAACCACAAGCTGAGGGCAGGTGCTCCCCACTCGACACACCCCGTGGGTCCCTGGTGGCCTGGTTCCTCTGCTGTGGAGCAGGAATAAGAGAATTCTTTAAAAAAGATGACCCAATGGTGAGCTTGCCGAGGGGGCCACCTGGGGGCCAGGGAATCTGCACACCGAGGGAGGGCAGGGAGGGGCTGGAACACCGGGCTGGAGTCCTCAGGCTACCGACCTCCCCAGTGACCTCCCGGCTCTGACCTGGCTCAGCACTCAGGCCTCAGTATCCACAGCTCCAGGAGGGGGAAGGTGGCAGGACAGAGCCGTCTAGCCCAGACGCCTGCCCTGGGCAGCTCAGGGGACAAGGTTCCCCTCTGGGGCCTCACCCAGCCCAAGCAGAACTAGGGCTGGGCCCTCAGCCGGCCTGGAAAAGGCCAGCGTCTGGGGCTCCTGGCTGCTGGCCGTTGGCGGCCTCCAGGCTTTCTGCTCGGAGCATCATCCATCTGGAATTCCAATGGAAAAACCTGCTCTTGCAGGTGGCCCCTTTGGCTCCCAGGTTCCTGGTTTGGTGGTTGGCGGGTGTCTGGGGCCCAGGCTAGACTCTGGCTGCCCCCAGGCCCTTGCATAGGTTGGGGGCTCCCACCTTCTGCTGGCTGAGCCCCCCTATTTCTCTTGCCTGGTGGAGGAGCAAGGGAGGGAGAGAGCTGACTGCTTTCTCCATGGCGAAAAGGAGCCCCAGTGTCTCCTGCCCCCAAGGCTGGCCCTCCAGGTGACCCGGACCAGGCACACCTGTCAGCTGGGCATGCTCAGGTGTGGACTCAGGGAAGAGTTCAGGTCTCTGCAAACTGGCTGGGCCACCCTCCCAGGCAGGGCCATTGTCACTGCAGTCACCCTCGATCCCAGGCAGCGACCCCTAGAGCTCCATTTGGTGAGGGTGGTCTACTAAAGCAGAGAGCTCTCTGGGCAGGTAAACAGTGGTGTCTACTGGTTGTCGGTGCAAGTCAGTCCCAAAGATTGAGCTCCTGGAAAAACCAGGAGTAGAAGAAGCTTTGGACTGTGTCGATTCTTTGTTGATAAATAATTTATACAAAGTGCAGCAGCCCTGGGCGTGTAGCCTGGTGGCACGCGCTCTGTGAGTCCTTGCGAGAGCTGCGCTCTGCCCTACCCCCCAGCCCCAGCCTTGCTGAAGACCCACAGAGGGTGGGAGGGTGGGGCTGGGGGCACAGGCTCCTGGACTGGGCCAGGCCACGCTCCTGGGCCTGTAAGAGCCCACGGGTCAGCAGCCAGTCCCAGCCAAGCCTGAGTCTCCTGGAGACTGACTGGCCTGCGGGGCAGGAATGTGCCTGCATCTGATAAATTGATCACCCAATTACTCGCCACCCCAGCGTGGATGCCCAGCCTCCTGTGAATGTGGCTGTGAACTCACCGGCTTCTGGCTCCTTCTCACCTCCCACCAACCCCCTCCCCCCCACCTCCAGGAAGACAAGGCAGAATAAGAGACGGCAGTGAGACCCCGGTGGAGGGACACGGGTCATCCATCCATTCATTCCTTCCCTGCTGGGAGCTGGCCACCACTGTCCTGGTCCCAGGCCCCCCGCTTGCCTAGGACACCATCCCCACTCCACCTTTCTGCTGTAGGAGCTGAGGGGTGTGGAGGGTGGGGCGACTCAGGGAAGAGGATGCAGGGGCTGGGGATGAGGCGCTGAGCCACTTCCTTCAGAGCGCCCCCGTGCACATCCTGCGGGTCCAGCTTCTCCGGAGCTCCCTGACTCAGGAATGTCCCAAGACTGGATGGTGGTGACAGCTGTGCAGCTCTGTCATTTGAAAGTCACTACTTGCAGTTTAAGCAGATGAGTTTTTTGGCGTGTAACTGCCCAATAAATTGGCCACATTTGACAGGTGCCCAGAGTCTGTTCCAGCCACACGCACGCTCGCCCGGGTCGACCCCTCACCCCGGGCCTCCGCGGTCCAGCTTGCCGAGGGCCAGGCACGTGCCTGGTGGGTCCTGAGCCAGACCAGGCCTCCGTGAATCTCCCATCCCAGCCCCCAGCTGGGGGTGGGTCCTGGGGGCAGGGGGAGGGGGCGGGGCTTTGGGCGGTGGATGCAGGGAGACGGGCAGAGCCCCAGCAGGCTGGGTGGTTTCCCCCAGCTGTGAGTGGGTGCCGGTGCGGAGGTGTGAGAGCGTGTGAGTGTGCACGTGTGTGTGTGTGACGCTCTCGGGGTGTCACTGTGAGGCTCCCCGGAGGCTGACAGGACAGCAGGCACTGCCAGGTGGGAGGTGGGCAGGCAGCCCCTGCAGGTGTCCCCAGGCCTGGCAAAGCTCCCCCTGCCCGACCAGAGCGTTAAACAGGGAAGCTAGGTCTTAAGTTTGGGGCCAAAAATGTAACTTCTTCAGCATGGCTCCAAGAAACAGTGCAACGAGCATTCATACCTGCAGGTGAATGGGGGCTGCGGGACAGTTCTGGGGGTCTCTGTTCTCCAAGGCCGGGGCCTTCTTGGCGCACCTGGAATCAGGATTTGCAAAGCAGAGACCCGGGGTCTTAGTCAAGGTACAAACTTCGGGCTGTTTTCTTCCTAAAGTACTTGAGGTCCCAAGTGGGGCCGATGGCCTCAGACCCCATACTTTGGGGCCAGTGGAGGGGTGTGGCAGCAGGCCTCCACCTGCCCGCATGTTAGGATCCTGTCGGGGCCTTGAAAGGGGTCCAGGAGGAACCTGGTCGGCAGAGTCTGGTAAGACTGGGACTGAGTGGGAGCTGGGGCCACACTGTGGAGGGTACAGGCCACCGGGGGGGAGGGGGTGGGAGAGGTCCAGGACCCTTCCTTGTTGGGGGACTCTCTGTGGGCAGGTATCCCCAGGAGGCCCAGCTCGATGCTGCACAAGATAAGCCCCTGCATGAACTGTAGGACCTGACCCCACCCTCACCCCCACCCCAAGGTCTGGGGAGGGAAAGGCAGGGGAGCTGCCAGTGGGAGAGTGACCTGGCTGGGGGTTTCAGTCTGGGCCCTGTGTTCC